CGGAGAGCGATTCGAATCGTCAACGACCGAGCTCTTACTGATCGGCTCGACACTCTGGCGCTGCGGAGGGACGTTAGTTCCCTCTGCATTTTCTACCGCATATACCACGGGGAGTGCTCTGAAGAATTATTTGGAACGATTCCTGCCGCCGAGTTCCGTCATCGGACGACACGACAGACCGCCAGGTTCCATCCACACCACCTGGATGGCTGGCATTCCACAACGGTGCGATTCTCGCGCAACTTCTTGCCTCGCACAGCCGCGTTGTGGAACGGTCTGTCCTCGGCGGTATTTCCAAACCAATACGACTTAGGGTCCTTCAAGAAGCGAGCCTATCACCACCTCAAAGGCCGGCAACGCATCTGCGGTTCCTCTGGTATTGCTGATGTCCATGGGCGTCGTTGAACACTTCGGTGTTCCCGCTGCTCGTTTGCCCCCTTCTGTTATAAAAAAAAAAAATCAATAACTGTTCAACTCATCTTATTGAAATTAGGCCATGATATTAAGCAGAGACTCGAGTCACACATGATATACTTTTTACCTCATTTTTTTTAATTCTATCCAGGCGAAGTCACTGGCAAAAGCTAGTTTATACGTTGACGGATGGAGTATTAAAATGATCTATTTTATTTACAGTTTCGTCTGACATTACCATGGACTAAAGCCTACCGCCAACTTATAATAGACTTCGTCGAAAATATACATATTTTTCATTATAAAGGAGATTCAGATTATTCCAAGAAAGTTTGTATAAATTATTAATATTTCATGAATTTCATAAAAATAAAAAAGGAGTTGCTACATAAAGAAATGAAGGAGGAATATTTTATACACATTTCTTACAAGATAATATAGCAAATAAAATATTTCGCCAAATATTATCTCCGCTAAACTGATATATAAACAAGGCTAAGAAGAAAGAAAGTAAAAGAAGTTTCGAGCCCCCGATGGGCTCGAAACTAGTCGGTGCCGCCACCGGACGTATATACGTGAGTGTTTAGCCGTGTTTATATATCAGTTTAGTATAATGTCTCATGAAAGTTTGAATAATTTATTATCTCCGCTGTTCATGAATAGCACCAAACATTATACTTAGGTAAATTTTGCGCTGGCAATGAGCAATTGGGAATTAATCAAGCCAAACAAATGAATGAATTAACCAGAATATAAAGTCTTCTTCAACATCATTATTTTCAACTCATTTACGTCCCTGTAGAGTGTAGAGGGACTCCTGGAGAGGCCCTGAGGGCCTACCTTTAGTTTGGTACTATGGCCACACTGGTTTAGTGCTTGGTTGGCTTTATACATATCTTTGAATTTCTTAGATATGTGCAGGTTTAAACATGATGTTTTTCTTCACCGTAAGCACATTTAGAGTAATAAAGTCATTGCGAGAGGTAAATAAGTTGATATTTTGAACAATTAATAGATTTTTTTTTTGTTTTCAGATGCATTACAAAATTCACAAAGTTTCTACGTACTTTACTATATTTTTACACGTGCAAATGTACTCCGGGATAATTTTATTTAATATCACGCCATTGCATAATAATATTAAAGCTGGATTATTTAAAGAAAAAGTATCACCGAATGATACCATAGCTATTGAACTTTCACTTTACTATGATTTACCATTTGATTGTCAGGAGAATTTAAAAGCGTACTTTGCAGTATTTATTTTTAATTTTTTTGTTAGTTTTGTTAATACATTTACAATGTGTATTAATGAACTGTTCATTTCTCTTATTGCTATCCATCTTTGGGGTCATTTTAAAATTTTACAATATAATTTGATAAATTTTCCAAGACCGAAAGAAATTAAACTAAATATCTCGTATGATGAAGAATCGACAATTACAAATCTACTCATAAAATATATGAAACAACATCGAGTGGCCACAGAGTATGTATTTTCTAATATAAAATTGTTTAAGATAGGCTTTTAGTTACTTTAATTTAAAAAAAAAAATCTGAACAATATGTTGTAAAGATTATTTGTTCTGAGCAATATAAAAATGTCTGCATATGTAAAGAAAAAAAAATGTATAAAACGAACCTTATCAATATCAACAATTTAAAAATATATCGTTTAACTTATATGACGAAAAATGTCATAAAATATAGAACAAGTTTAAAATATAGAGAAGAAGAAGGAATTAAAAAAGACATCTCAGGTTTTATTTGTACTAATCAATGTATATATTTTCAGTTTCCTATCAAAAACAGTAAACGTTTTTGGACCAACAATGTGCCTGTATTATTTATTCCAGCAAATAAGCGAATGTATCGTTTTATGTGAAATTTGCAAATTGGTAAAAAAAAATATTATAATTCGTACGAACACTTCTTTACTTATTCATAAAAATTTACATGCTTTCAAATAATTTTAGGACGCAGAAGCATTAGGAAAATACGGAATACTAACGCTTGTTATATTTCAACAACTAATACAGATTTCAATTGTTTACGAGATAATGTCATCAATGGCAAGTTAATTTCACTAATTATAATATAACAAATAATTGGCAAGTCCTAGAGTGGCGGCCACGGACAGGTCGACGCAGCATGAGCAGGCCTCCCGCAAGATGGACCGATGACCTGGTCAAGGTTGCGGGAACCTCCTGGATGCAGGTGGCACAAGACCGGTCATCGTGGCGATCTTTGGGGGAGGCCTATGCCCAGCAGTGGGCGTCTCATGGCTGACAGGAAAGAAGGAATTGGTACATTAAGGTCTTATCATACGATCTTAAACACTTTTTTCCTGTCCTATTGATAATTTTTATCCAATTGGATCAAATTGAATCGATTAACCGTTGGTTTCTGAGACCAATATCTATATTTAAACCATGTCAACCCTGTCATATTTGATGAAACTGAGATAACACTATATTTTAAACGGTGATTTGGTCTCAGAAGCTCACAGTTGAAATATGATGATTTAGAGGACGAACAACTTTCGTGTTCCTTACATCATTCAATTAATTTCGGGTTTATCAAAAATTATCAAAATCCTGACTGATTACGACAATAATTATCACACTAGAGATAATGATGAAAATCTGTTTTCTAATTTAAATATTTAAAATTGACCATAATCATATTGATTCTTATTTTTTTTTATATTTAAATATTAGCAGATTTTTTTGTAAATTTATTAATATTTCTTTTACCATTCGAACTAAGCTAGGCTTGTGCTAGGATATGGTTTACGACAATAGTCGAATGGCGGGATTCGAACCCCGACCTCGTGATCGAAAATCCGTACCCTTAACCATTAGATTATTGACGCTTATAATATATTGTTTACTTATTTCGTAGAATGAAAAAATCATCAACGCCGTTTATGGTTTGCCATGGGAACATATGTCAGTAAGAAATCAGAAGATTGTGCTGTTTTTCCTTCAGAATGTTCAAGTGCCTTTCAACTTGAGAGCTCTGGATATGGTGCCTATTGGAGCACAGACTATGGTTGTGGTAAGGCATCTTTGAGTAAATAAAATCCCACAACAGACTAGTAGGAAAGAGTAAAATATGACAGGGTCGTATTTCGCATCCGAGGAAAATTCATCCCTACTAAATAATTCAAACTTTGAGAAATTGTCATAAACTAATATACGCTATGAACTATAACAAATAAACACTCACGTATATTAGTTTGGTGACGGCACCGACTAGTTCACCGATTAGTGAGCGACGGGCCGCGTCCGCGAAATAATACCAGTCCCACTCACCCTGATGAAGGGCCCTGTTGAGCTCGAAAGTAGTTGGTGTCGACACCGGATACGTGAATTTTTGACTTTTATAATCCCTGCCTATTACTTCACGATTGTGAGAAGATATTTATTTTTAAACTAGCTGTCGCCCGCGACTCCGTCCGCGTGGATATATAAAACTTAATTATTGTAGCCCACCCATCTATCCATCCACATCACGTCCATCTAAACATTCGCATTTATAATATTAGTAAGTTAAATAAAAAGCATAAGTACATAACTCTACAAGGCATAAATTCGAAAAAATAAAATTAAAAAAATTAACAAATAGTATCCTATGTCCGTCTCCTGGCTCTAAGCTACCTCCTCATCAATTGTCAGCCATATCGGTAAAGCCGTTCTTGAGTTATAAATAGTGTAACTAACACGACTTTCATATATATATATACGAGTATATATAGAAGAGAGTATAAAGTATTATTTTGTCTAACATATTAATAGTGTAAATTTGCCTACATTTTATAATTTCTTCTTACTAAAATTTCATTGTAATTTTTACAGATAATAAGAACATCTTTCTCTTATTTCATAATGCTACGCACAATTGCCTATGATTGAAAACCACTCGGAAGTAATAATCTTGTCAAGGAATTATCTAACTTTATATGTATTTAAACCTTTTTAGTGCAATAATGTACTATGTTTAATATTTTCACTATAATATACTATGTAAAATTATATTGAATTTTATGTGTCACAATATACATTTTTTTTAACTAATATAAAATAAATTCCAGCTTGATACCTTCACGCGTTAGTAAGATAAAAGGTTTTGACAGAGAGATAGACGAACAACAAAGTGATCCTATACGAGTTCCGTTTTTTCCTTTCGAGGCACAGAACCCTAAAAACGATAAATGGTTCCTTTTTGTTTAAATATAGACTGTTATGAGTATTCTCAATATCATACAGTTTTAATTCATTAATTAGCTGTCGCCCGCGACTCCGTCCGCGTGGATATATAAAAAAACTTAATTAGTGTACATCCATCTAAACATTCGCATTTATAATATTAGTATAAGTTAAATAAAAAGCAGCTCTTCAAGGCATAAATACGAAAAAAAGAATAAATAGTATCCTATGTCCGTCTCCTGGCTCTAAGCTACCTCCTCACCAATTTTTAGCCATATCGGTAAAGACGTTCGTGAGTTATAAATAGTGTAACTAACACGACTTTCTTTTATATATACAGATGTAATTTTAAAGTCAAAGACTTAATAAAGATATCTATCGATGGAATAAACAGTGACCGTGAACTGACTTTGTTTCTATACAAATTTAGGAAAACAATAAAACGTGACTATTAAAATCAAATTAAAAGTCATTTTTAACTTATATGAAACGGCAATTATAGTCGATTATACAACCAAAACAGAACCAATGACGCCTTCGCATCGTCAAAAATGGTCATATTTAAAGCATTTTTTGTGTGATTGTATTCATAGTTTTTTTATAACTACAATAACTTTCGATTAGCAAAATATTGCATAATATATTATCAGCGTGGCCTTCTATAACGATACTAGCGGTCACGCGCTACTTCATTGGCGCAGAACTAAGAAAAAAGTAGCCTATAATATGCCCGCGTGCATCAGCAACGATCCCATCCAAGTCCCGTCAATATCGGTCCAGCCGTTCCGGAGATTACCCGGAACAAACGCATTGAGAATTAACAAACAACAGGAAACAATCGTACCCCTATGAGGCTTCGGAGAAGAAAAGTAATTAAGTGTCGTATTACAAGTCAAAATTGTTCATAGCAGCTGAGACTTAAGTCTTAATGGAACTCAATAAGTTTAATGTATGCTATACATTCGTCGTCGGCCAGTCGTGTCCCCACCGTGGGTCTCGGAGCCTACCCAAATTAGGGGAGACTATGCCATAGTCAACAAGGCTAGCCCCGTGTCGTTTGACAGAACACTGCTACTCTGTATTTCTTATTTGCAACCTCAGAAATAATTAACATAACAAAGCTTTGATCTCGTTTTATTCAATATGATGTACATATTTTAATATAGTTATATATCTAGTGTTATATATGTGTATCATACACAATAACGCAGGGATCAAAGAGTTTGTCGTGAAATTGTTGATGAAAAGCTTACTTCAAAGCACAATTAACACGCCTGGCGGCGACGATGGTTGCCATTGTCAATAAAGTAGAACATACTGGAATATTATATGAATAAGTATATTATAAATTATTGCAAAATGAAATATATCTCGTGTTATTGTCATGGAAAATAATTTAAATATGGTGAATGGTCAAAAAAATATTATTAAATTAAAAATTTAGAAAAAAATTCTGCTAATATTTTATTTAAAAAAAAATCTCGTATGAATAAGTACATATGAGTAGCAAATTATACACACAACATAAGGCTATGAGATAAACATTCATGATATTATTATCATCTTACGGCTTGTTTCATTCTATCAGATAACGGTTTACCACGTGGTTCTATTAATCAAATCATTGGATACCCATATTCGGCGGTTGTGCAAAAATATGAAATCCGCCATCTTGTGGCGGCGGCCATCTTGTATTTACAATGGCACTCAAGTACAAACTAAAGGTGTGTATTATATTTTAGAAAAATCTGCAATAAATTTAGTCTAACTTAGGTTACAAGATTTGTAGAAATATGCAAATATATTAGCTGTCGCCCGCGATGCCATCCGTGCGGCATTAAAAAAAACTTAATAAGTATCTTATGTGTTTCTCCAGACTATGTTCTACTTCCATGCCAGATTTCATCGTTATCCGTTGAGCTGTTCCAGAGAAATCTTCAAATAAACATCCATCCATCCATCCATATACACATTCACATTTATAATATTAGTAAGAAGTAAGATGAACGAATAAACACATATAGGTCAATAAGCAAGCTTAGGAAGGAATTGTTTTAGAAATTGATTTTCTATCAATACTACTTATAAGAAACTGAGAATTATTGCTGCTTTTCATCGTTATTTTTGAGATATAAAGAAGTCGATTAATATTTTAATTGCATTTATTAAGTCTTCATATTAAATTTAAAAGATTTATAACAAAAATGTATAAATCAGATTAAACTTCTTGCGTTTATTCGATTAAATTTGTACGAATTCATATCACGTAGCCGTCATTTCCATTATCGAGCAACGCTCAATAATGTTCTGAGAACCCTCAACAAATATAAGATACTTAAGTATCCTTCAAAAAAGAAATACATCTTTGAATATATATTATTCGAATAGCTTCAAATATTCGTTTTTAATGTGTTAAGTTTGACGGATTTCAAAACATTATATGATGAATTTGTTCCATCTTAAGTAAATAAAAAAAGCTAAATTTTAAATACTTATTTTTAAGGGTTCCGTCCCTAGTTACTTACTATAGTACTTTCTTTAATTATACTATAGTATATAAAGTACTGATACATTTTCAAGCAAAAAAAAAATATATTAGTTATGAACATATTTTTAATCACTCCAATATGTCACGCGTCGCGTCACTAGCAGTCTTGTATAAAAGACAAAGGCTTGTTGATCCCATACTTATTAACATTTTAACTTTTCTTTTAAAAAAATGTTGAAAAATTTAAACATGCTTTAATTTTATTGTTTATATATAATTCGGACAATAAACTTTTAAATAATTAAAATGACGAAAATACATTGGTTAGTATTTCATGTTTTGAAAGGGCATGTTTTTGTGTAAAGTTGACGAAGGCCTACGAAGTTTTTCTTGTCTTGTAGACAATACGAGTACTACAGCAGCGAAAAGGTTAAAGTTTTGTTTGTCGGCTTTTTATCTCCTTTCTATCATTCATATTTATCGCACAAGTGGTATGATATAATTTTGAACCACGCAATACATTGAATGCCATTTATTTTATCACCCGGTTTGGAATGTAGATTCCATTACATATTTCGATAAAGGTACTCTCTTTAGTTTTGGTCAGAACAGTTTTATAAGTAGAATCTGTGGTTAACATTAAGCAGTTAACTAAAGGGCACCTGCATTGTAAGAAGAGTATAAATAGCATTCGTAAATTTTAGCTCAAAACTAAGTTATAAGTAATAATTGTGTACCTATTTAGTTGAATAGATAAATAATTAATTACGTGTAGCACCTACAAAACGTATAAACTGCATTTTTGTAACAATAACTCTACGATACACGGTAATAATTCTAGTACTAAACTAAGTAAAGAAGAACAAATGTATCATTATATAAGAATATCTAAAAACTACGTCGGAGGCTCAGGGTTCAAGCACTTGACTATCTGCATGTCCTTGGTTCGAATCCCGCTATGTACCAATGAGTTTTTCGACCTTCGATTTACATATGTACATTTATCCGACGTTCTTACGTTGAAGGATAACATGTGATGCAATCTGCAACATATCTGAAAAGAAATTCAAAGATATGTGTGAAGTCAACCAAGCCGCACTTGGCCACCGTGGTTGACTATGGTCTAGTCACCCTTAACTTAGGGTAACCTCCGAGCCCCTCGGTGGGGACGTATAGTGAGCTGATGATCAAAAAATTTCTTTTGATCTTACTTGTATAGGGAATTTTGCCATTCTATTTAAAAAAAAAAATTATAACAGTGGAAGAATTTTTTTGGAGTAGTTAACGTAAATACTAAAAGCATAGGTTAGAAATATATGTACTTTTAATTTAATTAAAAACTATTTTTGTAATTTACTCAGATACGAAGCACCTTGAAAGTGAAATGTTAATCCGGGCGCGGCCTCCGCTGTACCCGCACTCTCGCTCTCCGTGAGGCCACGCAGAACATAACACAGATTGGATCGCAAACATCACTTATAACAATACTAACTGACGCACGCGACTCCGTCCGCGTGGGATTACAAATATCCATCTAGACATCCAAACTTTTATATTTATAAAAAGTAAAATCAAATAGTAAGATTGAAGTCCGTTGCTGTATTTATACTTTTGTAACATTTGACGTAGTTAATAAGACTATTGATCAACCATTTCCCGAAATTAAAACGTCAACTCTGACATATTTAATGTAAATACGTTCACATAATTTCCCTAGTTTTTACTTTTATTTCACGTATTAATATAAATGCTTATGCCTGCGACATCGTCTTCACATAATTGAAAAAAGAATGAAAATTATCTCATGCGTTAATCGAGACTGTTTTATATCTGCCTCAAAAGTCAACAAGATGTGTTGAACCGTTGCTGAATTATCGTGAGTACATAAATCAGACATCCCACGTTAATACATTTCCGGGATCATACGTGTTCTTTAAGACAAAACAATCCATACATCCGATCATTCGTATTTATAACTTTAGTAATTTGCAAAGCATATTTACGTTATTTGGTCTGTATTTATCGATTCGAACACATAATTTTCAAGTGTATCGTAAAAAAACATTATATGTCATATTGTTTATTCACGTCTCAGCACATATCCTTGTTTATCGAACCGAACTCAAGGGACTTGATAGAAATTGAACCGACATTTCTATTAACATTTACACAGGCTTTTGTTACCTTCTGAATTATTATTTGTTTTCTATAAAATGTATTATAAGGGTAAAAGTTAACACAACAGTTATCAATACAGATCAATATGAACTGATAGAGCGGACATTACGAGCAATTTCTTTCTAACATCGTAAATGCAATCGCATGAAATCATTAGAACTATTTGTCAAAAGTGTGAAAAATAGACCAACAAAATTGCAACAGTAGTAAGTTTCTTAGCTAATTGTTTGGTTCATAAAATCCAGTCTATTGATATTTATATCTATATTATTAATAAAATAGGAGTGTCAATGTGTAATGCGAAATAGAAATACATATTTCGCGAACACGATGTATTTATGTTGCTTATAACAAGCATCCAATGTTTAAAATTTTAGTCTATGTAATATTAAATCAACTATTTGATAGTTATTTTACTACACGAATTGAATTGATTGATAACGAAAACAAATATTACGGTGTAAAGGCTTTCTATTCACCCCGTTCCTGCATAATGCATTTAATATAATATAAGCGAAACATAAAAAACACGTGATATGAACAATTTAACATTGTAAATTGCAAATCTGCACGGAAGAGCAAAAACCAGTTAATATTTTAATCCCTACAGATACCGGACTGTAAACTGTTTAATTCTGAAGTCATGGTTAGCCATTTGTAACAAATTAAAGTGTACATCTCAGGGACTTAAGCATATTAAAACTACTGTACGTAAAGCTTATATCAAATGATAAAATGTATATTATGAAGACGCACAGGGGACTGACTTTAGCTTTAAAAAGTAATCTAGTTTCAGGATATTAGAAATAGATGAACAGTAGTTAAAGATGTATTTCTTTTTAGCCGACTTCAAAAAGGAGGAGGTTATCAATTCTTCTGAATGTTTTTTTTATGTGTTACCGCGTAACTCCGACTGTGGTGCTCCGATTTTGAATTTTTTTTAATCGAAAGGTTTTTAAACTGACTAGAAGTTTAGTAGATTTTGAGTTTAAGAAAATGCATTACGAAAATTTAGGACTACAACTTATTTCGGTTTCGGTCTAGTTCTAACAAAACGTAAATAGGTTCTAAAAAAAGGTTTTTTTTGTTTCAGAATGTTTTTTTGTTTGCGAATGTTTTTTTGTACTGTTAGAACATTACATTATTATTAAAAAAAATATTTTTAACTTACATTTCTATATAGTAACACCATTATCAAAATACATATAATTGGCAATATGAAGAAATGCGTACCAAAAATATTAAAACAAAACAATAGCGTATTACTTCTGTGAATATAAAAAAGTGAATGATAAAATATTCCGTTTGTTAAGTTGTTATGAAAAAGAAACAATGTTTCCCTTTTATAATTGAATATGAAAAGAACAAGAACATTTTTATGAAATTCGTTTTAGCTTTGAAAACCTTACTTAATATTTTGGCTTCTGTTACTAATTTATAAATTAGTTCAATGAAAATTATTTCCGTAACAATTATTTTACGTTGAGCTTCAATAAAATTTCCAATCAAACGAATACCTTCCAATTAGTAAAGTTAGATGGATAGCTGGATGGATTCTTGAATAAAGCACGTTCTATTCATATTAAATATTTCTCAATAACTTTGTTAATAATAATTACGAAAAATAATCTAAGATCTTACTTTACTTCTTGATTGTATCTATAGACAAAATAACAGTTGTGTTATCGCAAATTGATTTCCTATGCGTCCTCTTCCATTAAATCCACTTCACCTTTCAATCCTTTGCTTACAAGGGACAGACAGATTTGACAGACGCAATTGCATATGCGTTGACTTTAATAGACGGAGGAGATGATGCACAGAAAGGAAATATTTTCCCTTACCATGCATCCTCTTATCGGAAAGTCCACAACCACTTCCCATCCTTTCCTTATAAGGAAAAGGATGGGGAGGGAAAGAGGACTAAATTAGGCCTCCGGGACGCACACTCATCAGACGAAACGCGGAATTGCTTCCACTTCACGCCTCTCTTCTGTGTTGTCGTGGTATTGCACCGGTGGAGCCGGTCCATTCGCGCAATTTACGTTGTTGTTGCTGGCGTCTACCACTGTTAAAAATGTTTGGCACTGACAATAACTCTCGCTATGTCACGTGATTGTATTATACTGCAACTCAATTACATACATAAAAAAACGTGTAATTAAAACGTAGAAACGAACAAATAGGATTATAATATTTAATGATTAAGTAATAACATATTAATATTTAATTAATTTTTCGTAACAATTTAGTATATTTTTAGAGAAAAGTAACATTTTGCCCGTTGGAATTTTTGGTGGAGGATCTTATTGACCTCAAAGTGGTCTGCTTGACCGATGAGTTCTGATCCCAGCGTCGAAGGAAAGACGCGTGTTGTCCACCTGATTCCCTGTAAAATGCACAAAAACCTTCTTAACTACATTTTGTTCGTATTTATTCAAATTTAAATAATTTAAGATTTTTTTTCTGTAAATTTCTTGTCGTCCTGTACATCCAATTGATGTAAAAATATTAGACCTGAAAACATTTTTCAAAAAGTTGTTAGAAATAATCTTTTTTATCTTCGATCTTGTAAAAAACAACAATAAATTTTGTAAGTATCAAAATTATGTACGAAATGAAAAAGCAATTATACAAAGCGATGAATATGTGAATTACTTGATTCCATACGTGACTATCTATCGATATTGACAGGACTAAATTAATGTCAAGTCACGAAAATGATTAGTACAACGGGTCTCAGTTGACGTTGACTGTAAATACGAATTTAATTAACTCTGATGTGAGATATAGATTGTCGAGTGTAACAAATCATTAACAAAACTTATCTACTATGACTACGAGTTCGGATATTCAACTAAAAAAGACAAATAAGTTTCCAAGGTCAGTGAAATTACGTAGAATTTTTTTAAGAAATGTAAAAGTCTTTAAACATGTGTTTGGACTGTGTAAATACAAAGAAAAGTGCAAGGAATAATGCCACTTTCATCTAAAATCTAATAGAGTTGTGGCCAACAATGAAAATAAAAAAAAACATACAGTTGATAAGTAAAACCAATCGAGACGCTCCATCTTTTTAAAATAGGTTAAGTATACATTAAATTAATAATAAAAGATCATTAAATAAACATGCATTTAACTAGTGAACAGGCGTGAAGTGGAAGTTATTCCGCGTTTCGTCTGCGCGATGACTGTGCGTTCCGGAGGCCTTATTTTAATCCTAGCGAAAGAGGTGAGGGGATGCATGGGAAGGTAAAATATTATCTTTCTGTGCGTCGCATATTCCGTCGGTTAAACTACGTGCTCGTTTGCCACAATTTAAAATAGTACTGTTAGAAATAAACATAAAATGACTTTAATAACGTACTTATCGCTTTGATTGGAACGTTTCTTTTTCGGCCATAAATGGAAAGCTCCATAGATAACGGGATTAACGAGACTGTTTGACATGCCAAAGAAAAAGATTCCAGACAAAAGGTTTTCGCCCAACTGAAAAAAGGATTCATTATTTAGGATTATGCATATCAAAGATCATACTGGACTTATAAATACACCTACATTTTAAACTGTATAAAAATTATTCAAGATACATAAACGACTACACGACTACGAGATAATGACTGTCGACGCGGCTCACCACCCGTCTCGTTTCGTCTCTCAAGGGCGAAAAGTGGATTGCGAAGGTTCGTTTAGCCACGCCAATTGGAGGTCCGTGGTCTCTGCCTACCCATCTGGGTGAGACGTGAGTTGTGGTGTGTTAACGTAAATATTTAATTTTCATATTGGCAATAGAATTATTATATAAACTTACATTTTTCTCAGGATTCCAGAAAGTGAATAAAATCATCATTATGTAGTAAGGTGTCCACCAAATCGCGAATGCTGTCACTATGACGATAGACATTCGCAAAGATTTCATTTTAGCTCTGTCAATTAGCTTCGTTCTGTTAACATCTAAATTTGAAAGTATTTCATGTCTCTTGCAACCTATTTCAAATATCCTTTTGCTCCCTGTAAATATTGAAAATTAAGTTAAACACCAAATGGATAAAAATATAGAAAATATATATTACTTCTTACTAATATTATAAATATGTTTAGATGAATGGATGGATGGAATGATCTTTGTTATAAGGTACTTAAATTTCGCGTGGACGGAGTTGTGGGCGACAGTTATTTTCCAATAAATAGAAGTTGATTTACGGATAATTTAAATAATTAATTTTAACCCTATTTTAATATGAATTTTCAATTAAGCTTATTTTATATCTGTGGTCGGCTATTTTATCTCGATTGATGACGCAATAAATGAAATATTTGTTTTATATCATTTATTTATCGCCTTCACAAAACAATTGAAATATTATTTTAAGAGATATTGAATGGATATTGTTTCAATCAGATTGCGGTTTTATAACTTGTATTTATTAATGATACTTGTGGATTAACATTGTTTGATGAAGGAACTGTATTCTCGGATAGATGACGTTAGAGATATGCCACAAGCAACAGCAGCGTGTTATCGGGGTAATAGTATGCCACATAACAAATGCGGGATCAGACTGAATACCCATGTTGGTAGACAGTCAATTCACTGCAAACTATTTTGCAATCGGTACTTCCAGGTCATTGACCTATTGGATTACGAAAGTATACTATAACAGTAAGTTTAAATGAAGTTTAGTTAGATCCTTAAATGTTGCTTACCCTCTATAGTTCGTACTGTAGATATATAAGTAGAGATCAGAATTATCAAAGGTATGATGAACATAAATACAAGTGATAAAGTCGTGTAAGTTTGCTCCTGCCATCGCTCCGTGTAGAATCCGTGTGTTACACATTGATGAAATTCCTCAATAAAAGGTCCTCTTGCAACTCGAAAAATAATTGCCTAAAAAAAATAACTCGTGTCTTTCAATTAAAATACCACAAACATAAACAATTCTCCTATCGAATAACAAAACTTAGATTAAACATTTCAACGTGGAAATATTCATTTTATTTGTTTATTTACAAATATGTAATATGAAGCAAAACATAGAACATTTACTTAGTTAATTTAAGATTTAATTAAAACTGTAATTAAGTACGTTTGTGTTTGTGATATTCTGTTATTTGCAGTCGAGATAAACGATATAACAACAAACGAATAGTTCAAATGATGTAAACAAGCTAGTCTTCTAAATACTTTAGGTAGTTAGTTAGTGTTTTAGGTTTCACAGTGGTGGAGCCCGCTTTAAAATCTTCGCACGAATTGGCCCAGCTCGCCCGGTGAAATACCATGACCACACAGAAGACGGGCGTGAAGTGGAAGCAACGTGTTTCATCTGATGAATGTGCGATCCGGAGGCCTAATTATAGTCCTCTTTCCCTTCCCACCCTTATAAGGAAAGGATGGGAAGTGGAAGTGGACTTTCTGGATGAGAGGATGTATAGAAAGGTAACATATTTTCTTTCTGCGCATCCTCTCCTCCGTCGACTAAAGCAATCCAACGCATATTCAATTGCGTAAGTCTATGGGCAACGGTCGCTTCGCTTTCAGCGATTTCAGGTGGCCACTAGCTCGTTTGCCACCTTTTGATATAAAAAAAAAACTTAAATAAAAATAAATCTTACCTGAGGCACACTAAGTATAAAACTTAGGATCCAAGCGATGATTATCAATTTAGAACTCCGAGACGCTGTAGCTAAACTCTTCATAGGATATTTGACGGCCAGCCATCGGTCCACGCCAATTAGAACCAGAATAAATGTGCTCAAATGTAGAGCAAACATTTGAGAAAATTTAAACATCTTGCAGGTTACATTACCGGCGTACCATTGTACTGATAATGACCAAGCGGCTTCACCCGCTAAACAAAACACCGTAACAAATAAATCAGCTATGCTAAGTTGAAATATTAAACGATATATTGCGGTACAAGACGGTCTAGTACGTCCTCTATTTTGATTTCCTCTTCTAACACTAATTAGAGTTACTATATTGCCAAAGAATGACAATGCAGCCAGTACTGAAAGTATACTAGCCTTCATAATTGTGATATTTGTTAAGGTAGGTGCATGTTCTAAGCATAAAATATTGGAATCGTTGTAAATATGGACGACATTGTCAAAATGTTCTGCTGTAGATCTGTTAATAAGTTGTGCCGCTACACATTGTTCTATTGACCACACGCTGATGTTCAATTCCTTATTGTATTCGTCATTTAACGTCATATTACTAGTATTAATTACTTTGCCCTCTAACATATTTATTTTCCCATTCATTTGTTTTTATTGCTTCATACCTATAAGTATTTTTATCTGTAAAATAAAATGTTATGATTTTACACCTACAATCCTCTATCATATATATTTCTCAGTCATAACTATATTTTTATATGCTCTCCAAGTCTTCGTATGTCACATCGTTACATCATATTACATCTTCAAGTTACGCTACTGGGGTAACATAAAACATTATAATTACATACTACTAGCTGTTGCCCGCGACTCCTTCCGCGTGAAATGATAAAAACTGAGTTCCTGGCAATTATTCGAATTTTTCTCATCTTTTAAACTTTACCTACGAATATTTCAAGATAATATAAATCTATTCAGCCGTTCTCGAGTTTTAGCGAGACTAAGAAACTGCAATTGATTTATATATATATATATATATAGATTACCCTAATGTAATATCTAGTATATAATCTGAATACAGATAAATAATTCAAAGATAATTTTTAAATAATTAAAAAAAAGAAATTAACAATGTTGTTAGGAATAATTGTTTCGCTTTTGTATATAAATCATCCGATCTTCAATCGCTGAGCAATCAATTCAATGTGGATCAAAATAACCAAGACATAAAAAGACACAAAATACAAAAATAACTAACATAATAATCATGATGTAAACTTATGCAATACATTATTCTAAAAGCATTTCATATTCTAAGAAGAGAAAAATACCTAGAAATTTAAGTCCCTTGTTGAAGCGTCTGATACCGTCGTAACGAATCCGAGCGATTCATTTGCCTCTTAGCAGAATGTTTGCACAACTTGTTCAAATTAATACGACGAAAATAACACACTTCTACTAAATTATTTCAAGTACTTTCTCGATTTAATATATTCAAATATATACGTGATAAAATAAAAGAATATGCTTACGTAAAACGTTTATATACAAAGCATTAACACCAATTGGGAAATGTACACTTAAGATAATTGATAATAAAAGAGTAAGAAGTCAGGAGAGATAAAGGCGAGACTCGCATCATTTTATATTAAGGAATCGACCGGTATACGCCGGGTAATCAAAGCATGGTAGTCTCGAGACAATCTAGCGAAGATAGAACAATTTATCAGTCTAAACAACAGATCCAAACAACATTTTTTCTTGTAAATTTACTTACTAGTCAAAATGAATTATTTATGGAAAAAAATATATACACAATTTCAAAATGTTCCTAAAAAATTTATCACTCAGACTGAAAAAGAGACTAATATATTCTTATTAATTCTTTCTCTAGGGAATATCTTAGACATACGAGTAGCACATCAAAGGTTATTAAGATTAATTTAATTGAATATATCCAAAGATTAAAAGACAAAAAAAGTTCAAAAGCCTTTGATTATAAGTCAAGGTCAAGGTCATTTAGTCGTAGTATTTATGTATAACTAGCGGTCGCTTGCGACTTTGTCCGCGCGGAATTTAAAAGCATAATTAGTAGTCTATGTGTTCTTTTAGACTATGTTCTATATTTACGTTAAATTTCATCGAGATCTGTTCAGCCGTTCTGGAGCTACCTTCAAACAAACATCCATCCATCTAAACATTCGCATTTATAACATTAGTAAGAAGTAAGGTAACATACTAAAACATGGTATGAGATTAATAACACAATTGCATGCATAGTATTGAAACAATATTAAATCTATTGAGTGAGTTAAGAATAGAAAGTTCGTAAGAAGGCTTATAAAAGTGCGAGGAGAGGCAATCTCAGAAAATACTTCTTAAAGTACTTATAAATATTAACGTAAAACGAAATCAAGAGAAGTATTTTGTATAAGATTAAAATTTTTACACGCCTTTTATGCAACAGAATTAATTAGAACTTATCATGCAATATCCAATAACCTTTTTAACATTTGCAAACTATGATTTGGTCGTATAAATTAATAAATATTAAAATGTAATTTTATTCGTGTCATTTAGAAATTCTTTATTAGCAATAAGTGTCTTAATAGCACCTACTATTCTATTATTTTTACCGAGGAATACCTACGCATATTTAAGTTTTGTCTCTGAGTCACACAATTTGTCTACCACCCACATAAATAAACGCCTTTGCATTAAAATGTAAATTTGTACTTATTCTCAGTTTAAGAACTCAAAAGTTTTCCTTTAATATATAATATTTAATAATATTAAAAATGTTTTTGCAAAGGTACGGGTTTAAAAAAACGTAGATGTCCCCGTCTCCAAATTACTGATATTAAACAAGATAGAGATATCCGACAAAATACGAAATCATTTAGCTGCAAAAAATAAATGTTTGTATAAAACGTAAATACGTATTTTCCTAATGAGTCAAAAACAAAAGCAGTCTTAGCGAATATTAAAACCACAGTAAGTATCATAAAAACATCATCATTACCGGATAATGGTATATTCGTAGTAAACTGTGATTAAGAAGAATACATTTTTTTTACAATCCATGCAAAAAATCTAATATTAATCTTTTTTTTAAAACCACGCACAGCTTAAATTACTGGTCTATATGTGCAATTTTACACAAAGTCTTCTGTTAATATGTACGCAATAACAAAGAGTTTTTATCTAAATTCATCCTCTTAAGCACGAATGGGATGAAAAATAGTATTGAGAAATAATTCATTTTTCTTCATAAAAATGTGAACACTTTTAAGAAGAACTAATTATTGATAATTAATCCTAAGCTGACGAAGTCGCAGGCGCCAGCTAATTAAAGTACTAAAGATCAAAATGATTTCATAACATTATACATATATGAACAGGCAAATAAATTAGAAAATTTATATTTAGTTTGCAATAAATCAACCCCTTTGAGGTAAGTGAAGGCAATTTTAATGTTTATATTTAATTATGTCTCGCCTACTTTTCTTTACAATTGTAATTAATAATATATGTACATAGCAATTGTTTTGATATCCAGATAAAGAAAAAAAAGAAAAAAATAACTCTAGTAGATTTTAAGGTATTCACCATCAATAAATTTACAATATAAATAAAAAAAAACATATACACAAATTAAAAACGATCATTTACCTGTTTTATTCCATTTAAGTTTATTTACCAACTTTCAAAGCATGTTATTTTTGTTTCATTCCTTTATTTTTACACATTATATGATTTTTAAAATATCTAAAATATTTTTAACAACACAACACATAAAACAAATTATTATATTTAAATTAACTTAGATTTTCAACTTGATTTTAACTTATTTTGTTTTCATACACACGTCTAACCACTGCGGCTATCCAAAACACACTGTCTGGGTGTCTGTGGGACGATAAAATTCGCCACTCATGTTTATTAGGAATAAAGTCTAGTAGAAGATTATTTCTCAATATAATTGTTGTGTCGCAATTCCAATGTTGTCCCAAGTGTTTTAAAACGTAACAATTAATGAGTAGAATGAAAATATAATATTTTTTTGTGCAGTTAATGAAATTATATTATACTTTAGTTAAGTGAAATTTTCAATTACCTTAGTACACAAAAAATATTAAATATTTTCTCAAAAGAAATAAAAGATAAATACATACCTATTATATTGTTATTTTCAAGTTTTTGTTTCAATTTATCTTTGAACAAAATTGATGAATTTTACTCTTTGTTTCCATTGCCGATACCAAAACGTTAAAATATTATTGTCATTTCTCACATTTTCTAGATAAAAAACAATGTATGAATTTGATAAACTTTCGTCGCTGAGACGATATTGGTAGTCTTCTGTGTCGAAGGCCGAGACCTATTTAGGGTCGCTGCGCAGGCGAAGAAAGTAAGCGTTCTGAGGAATCCATAAGAGATTAGTGTCTTAAATTTTTTTTTAAATGTTTTTCGTTTTAAAAAACTTTTCAAATATAAATTTTATAATTTTCGATATACTCAGGAATTCTTATATAGTATATATTTATTATACTTACATTGTAATAGTATGTCGATTTCTATTTTTCCACTTCAATCGTACACCTCTCATGTTATTGATTTATAACGTTCATTTGTTTCTTGCTGACAATGCAGCCCAACCCTTCTCCGATATTATCACGTGGCAGTTAAATCGGATTTCGACGGAAGAAACGTTCTTATTGTAAGGACACTCGTATATTGAAGTACACATTGATGAAATAGATAAGGAAAAACTTATAAGATTCACAATAATACTCTGAATGAAGTAAAATACTATGCAAAAAAAAAGTTTGTCAACTTTCTATAATGCTATCTATGTCAATAGAACTATACTCATTGTTGACATAACCTATTTCAAATACATCGTAATAGGAACAAAATGGAGCATGATATATTAAGTACTTCTTCAACATAAGCCTGCTCCTCCCTATGGAGTGACGGCACAGTGTATACTACTCTTCCATACATTTCTTTTTTTTTTATATCATAAGGTGGCAAACGAGCGAGCGGCCACCCGATCGATAGAGGAGAGGATGCACAGAATGAAAATATTTTCCCCTTTCATGCATCCTCTCATCCGGAAAGTCCACTTCCACTTCCCATTCTTTCCTTTTGAGAAAAAGGGTAGGGAGGGAAAGAGGACTAAATTAGGCCTCCGGGACGCACACTTATCAGACGAAACGCGGAATCGCTTCCACTTGACGCCTGTCTTCTCTGTCGTCGTGGTATTTCACCGTGCGAGCCGGGCCGATTCGTGCGAAGATGTTAAAGCGGGCTCTACTACTGTTAAAATTACATTTCTATCAGCCGTCATATCTGAATTCACCTACTTCTTAGGCATATTACTTACAATAAATGTCTTTTATAACTTCTTAAAAAGTTCCATTTTTAAGTTACGATGATACATATTTTTTATAACATATGACTTATGTTAATCAAGCGAAATATTAACTGCGTGCGTAGCCACGAGCAACTACTAGTAAATAATATCGAAATAAAATATGCATAGCGCTTAAAATTCTACGAATACGTATCTAATTATGAAATGATTTACGTGTACTCAATTAAACAAAAGAACGCCTTCACACTTCATTAAAATTTACATAAAAATATTG